ATCCGCCCTCTTCACTCTGACGGAGTCCCAGGCCAAGCTGCACGTTCGCTTGTGTGGGACGGGAGGAACCGGGAAGTCTGGATTCCAGCTCCTCCAAAATGCTGGGGGACCACTGGCAAATCTCTTAACCTCTCTGGGCCTCAGGGTCTGCATTATAAAATGGTGAGGACACAAGGCCAGAAGAATCTGAGGCTGCGCTCAGCCCTAACTCCCAGGACTCGGGGGTATCCCCAGTACCCGCCCTACATGTTGAGCTCATCTCGGATCTCTTTGTACTGCATCAAGTTCTCCTGTATTGCCTCCAGCACCAAGCAAAAGTTGTCGCATGCGTTTTCAGTGAGGTTCGACATGGGACCCCCCACAAGGGGCTCCTGGGGAAGACCAGACATCTCCAAACGGGCCACATTACAGTGCACCAGTGGCAGGTCCTTATTTCCATACTCCTCCTCGTTGACCCTCTGGGGAAGAGAAAATTGAGAGGGGACAGATAGCTCAGCCGGCACCCCCTCCCCCAGCCCCTTCCCACTTGGCCGCAGGGAGGATGACTCTCCTAGGACACCAAGATTTCAATGTCCCTCATTTCAGCTCCAACCAATCTTAGCCTCCCTACCCTGGGGGAGCTCAAGTTCAAATATACAAGCCCTTCCCCCACCTCTTTGGCAATTCTTACCCCTTTTTAAAACTTACCCCCCACCTCACTCCTGCTAAATCCCTACCCAGTAAACTTCTAAAGCCCATCTACTCTCAAGTCACAGCCCAGAGCCCTCAACACTTTGCAAAGTACTACACCCTTTACTTCCCCAATCTTTTGGAAGTTCTACCCTTGAATAAATAATACTGTAGCTAACATTTAGTGAGTACTTAGTATGTGGCAAGTACTGTTCATTTACCCATGTAGGTCTCATAATAGCCCTGTGAGGTAAATACTATTATTATTCCCATTTTACAGAAGAAATCGAGGCTTAGATTGGTTAAATGCCCTAAGGTCACCCAGGCTGCTCGGTCTGAGTTGCCATAGAAATAAGACATCTAGGAAATCTACACGCCCCCCCAGAAGCCCCAGGTGGTAAGTTGGCACTCAAGGTGGGAATGCTGCCTCTGGGTCTCAGGCTGGGCTTTCTCCGGGCACCTGAGTGTGCCAGCACACACGCATACCCAATATGCTCAAGTCAGCACTTACGCGCACGCTCCCTCTCCTCCCTGTGCCCTCCCCATCTCACTCACCTCGATGAATCTTATTTGATTCCGTTGCCCTTGCTCTCCTGTTCTCATTATTTGCTCCAGGTTTGTGGTCACCACGACGACCAACAGGTTGATGCCAATGAAGGCACCAATGGTGATGAAGGTGGCAAAATAGAGGGCACCGGCAACCTCCATGACGTAGTCCCTGGTTTCCATCCTGGAGATGGCAGGCAGGGGCCCTGTCACTGTCCTGGCCCTCTGAGCTCAGTTTCCTCATCTATGAAATGGGGAAATTATCTCAAGGCCTACTAGGACTTCTGCTGCTTCACTGCTACTGTGCAGATCTAATGCCTACTTCTAATTGTCAGAGCAGCTGCTCTTTACTGAGCACCTGCTGTATTGCCAGACAGTGGGGTCCGTAACCCAGCCCTGCAAGGTGGGGGTTTGCATATCAGCATTACCAAGTTTAGTCTATTGGCTATACTCTTTCTTTTTTTTCTTTTTCTTTTTTTGTTAATATATCTTTGTTGATTTCAGAGAGAGGAAAGGAGAGGGAGAGAGAGAGAGAGAGAAACACCAATGATGAGAGAGTCATTGATCAAGCCCGCAACCCGGGCATGTGCCCTGACCGGGAATCGAACCCTGATCGCCTGGATCCCAGGTCAACGCTCAACCGCTGAGCCACGCCCGGCCGGGCTATACCCTTTCTTATTATAAAAAGTAGCCTGGCCAGCATGGCTCAGTGGTTGAGCATTGACCTATGATCCAGGAGATGGAGGTTCAATTCCCAGTCAGGGCACATGCCCAGGAGGAGGGCTAGATCCCCAGTAGGGGGCTTGCAAGAGGCAGCCGATCAATGACTCATCATTGATGTTTCTAGCTCTCTCCCTCTCCCTTCCTCCCTCTGCAATCAATACATTCTTTAAAAACAGTAAGTCAAGCTTATTATAGAAGGATCACAAGGAAAATGTACGTGAAAAATCCTACCTACTGTTAATACCTGTTGTAAATCTCCCATAAAATATTTTCCCAAATAATAGTGTTCTCCCTCTCTCTCTCTCTCTCTGCATATGTGTATACTATGCCAGGTTCTATGCTAAGAGATTTACATAGATTTTCTCTATTGATCCTCACAGCAATTCATGACATAGTTAATATTGTATTATAATCCCCAATTGACAGATGAGGAAACTGAGGCTCAGAAAAGAGATGAAGTAATTTGTCCAAGGTTGCATGGCTAGTGTGGTGGAGCAAAGACTCAAAAGCCCAGTCCACCTTTATTGCACACTCTATGGTTTCTCTACTACCGAAACCATAATGGACAATTACAGCAGAAGCCCTTTACCAATTGGGCTTCTGCTCTCACATGAAGGCAATAAAAAGAAATGAGTCAGTGGTCCCAACAGCCTGAAGTGGACTGGAAACAAATAGGGTTTAGACTTAATGGGAACGGGGTAAAGAACATGGCCAAGCATGACCTTGGGCAGCAGGCCTAAGGATAAATGAAACGAGTACTTCTAAGTACTCAGGAGTCCAGGCAGTTTGGTGGGCTCCAGTGTGGGCTGGGAGGCTGCCCTGAAGCCTTAGTGCAACCAGACAGCTCCTGTGCCCAAGGCCTAGCTACTAAGCTGTTTAGCACGATGGGAGAACTATGCATGAATAGGTCTCTAGTGGGATTTTGAATGGGTGGAATTTCAAGAGGAAAAGGTTTCAAGTAGTCCACAAACCCAGAGGCCCCAGCCCCAGAGGTCTTCTTTCCTCCAGTGTAAAGCCCTGACACCCGCTTCTTGCTGGGTGAACCTCATCCGCGGCCCCGGAGCTGCACTCCCACCAGAGCCCTTTTCCCTCACGGGATCCCGGCCCCTGCCTTGCCTGGATGGGCTGGGGGACCAGAAGCCCCACGGGGACTCACTGAAAGTCGCTGTAGATGTCCACCCATCCATCCTGGGTGATGCAGATGAAGAGGGTATACAGGGCAACCGGCATGTTCTGGAAATGCCTGGGCACGAATGCACCAAAGAGAGTGACCCCAAACACGGAGAACACCTGCCGAAGAGACAGAAGCCCAGCCCTAACTTCACCCAAGACTCCTGGAGATGGCACATGCAAATGAGCACTGCCAAGGGGATGACAGGGATTTGGGCCCATAGCCTCTCCTCTTCTCCAGACACCCCTGTGTCCCCAGTGCCCCGTGGCCTGTTAGGAAAGGGGAGTGGCTGGGGTGGGGGTGGGGAGGGAGAGGCACTGACCAGCATGAAGAAGAGGATGAGGGCTAGGATATTGGCCATGCCAGGCACCGACTGCAGGATGACGCGGATGATCCGGGCCAGGGGCTCCACCGCCATGCACAAATGCACGAGACGAAGGACCCTGTGGCAGAGCCTCTCAGGGATGCCCCTCAGCCCTTCCCAGGCCCCTTATCCTCACTGCCACCCAACTTGCCCAGACAGACAGAACTAACCCCCAGCTGGTAATACCACCCCATCTCTTTCCCAGGGTCCAGGCAGGTCCCCCTCTTTTCTCCAGAGTTCCCAGCTCACCTGAGTGTATAGGTGATAGAGATGGCTTTGAGTTCATTAATGAAGAACCCCAGGAACAAGATAAACATGATAAGGAAGTTGAAGATGTTCCAGCCATCCTGGGGGGTGGGGGGGGCCATCCCCAATGGGGTCTGTCAGGCCCAGCCCATAGGGACATCCTGGGTCTGCCTTCCCCCACCCCAAGGATGAGGGGCTCAATGTTCATCTCACAGCAGGACCAGTCATCTGCCATCCACAGCTGTTATTCTGTTGCTCATAAAACATCCCACCCAACAGCATGCACTCATACATGTTGACTTATACGTGTGTCAACAGCCAAGTGCAGTCTCAGAGACACACAGTGGAGACTCATATACATATAGCTAGTTCCTGAGCTGAGCACTCACCTTGGTTAATAGACTACTGAAAATGGCCTAGCCCTACAGTTCAGTGACAGGAGAGTGTTTAGGTGCTCCAGGCTTTGTGTAAAACACACTCCAATTAATAATAAAATGAAAATAAATACTAATAGCCCTGGCCCGTGTGGCCCAGTGGTAGGTAGAGCATTGGCCCATGCACCAAAGGGTCACAAGTTAGATTCCAGGTCAAGGGAACATACCTGGGTTACAGTTTCATTCCAGGTTGCAGGTTCCTTCCTCGGCCTGGTCCCGGTGTGTGAAGGAGGCAGCCAATCGATGTGTGTATGTGTGTCTCTCTCCCCCCTTCCCTCCCTCCCACTTTCTCTAAAAATCAATGGAAAAAATATCTTTGGGTAAGGATTACCAAACAAATAAATAAATAAATACTAATAAAAACATCAAGGACCACTGCTTCAGTAGCCAGTTCAGAGGTGAACTAGCTCTCACTGACAAGAGAGACAGGAATTTTTTATAAGCCCTTTGTCCAATAAGGCACAAATTTATCTAGGAAT